CTGACAATGACAAACACCAGGTCTGCCAAATGTCACGTTATCTCAGGAGTGCTGTCATCCTCTTACTGAGGATAAAGGCGATGCATTACCGGTCACGGAAACGACTTCAATTACTTCTTAAATCATTTATTGTCCTTTCAACGTCTTCATGTCTTCATTGTCATGTGAACGGCTTCATCACATGTCAGAGTTCACCAGAACTGGCCTTGGAATTTTACATGAATGGCTATTGCAAACGTGTGTGTTAATTGAATGCTATACAAACTATTTTTACTATAATAAGAGCACTTTTATTTTAGTTTTATAAGCACTCATTTAATGATTCTATGCTTTGCTTTAACTAAAATGATAGTTTGTATTTCTGTAATGACACTCACCACAGGGCCACCATCTTCCCAAAAGCATCCTGAATCATCCCCGTCACCCGTGATCTTAACACATCTCATCCCAGGAGGGCAGGCGTGTTCCCGGGGACGATTCTAACGACAATGAGAGAGTTATATTATTATATTAAGTAGACTAACATCCTGAGCTCCAGGTATTCACAAGAATGCTGTCATGTACATGTAGAATTCTAACATAATCATTAATCGTTGTACATACTATGATTATGTCTGTCTGAAAACTAGATGGGATGTATATTATGGAAAGAAGTACAGACAGAGGCATATGACTGAATGATAAAATAACATAGCAAAAACATCTGCAAGGAAATATGGATATTGGTTTTCACCAAGTAGCATGATGAAATTTTATTGTCCATGCCAGTTATATGAAATGGATGTCTTACATAAAAACGGTACTTACGGTTAATGAAGACTTGTTCCTGTGAAGACCGAACCCTGGCGACGCTCGTTCCCATGCTCCGGCAATACTGTCGAGCACGTTCCCATGTTCTCGTGTCAGCTTGGCTGAACCAATACTGTCTTCCTTCAAAATAATGCCATCCGGCTAAATAAAAACAGCAATTAAGACAACGCTTAACGTTGAACATACATGCTAATGGATTTCCAATGTAGCACACCTTTATATACTGTGTAACATCTCGAAAAGGTTAACGTTGATCAAGAGCAGGAACTCATGCCGCACTTGCAAACGTCTTTTTTATTACTAAAGTTACCAAACAGTATATTTGCTACCTTTGTTTTCGTCAGTGAATTCTATTGTGCATCATATGCATAAAGTATCTACATAGAATTCCTGGTACATTTTAAGCCGTCTTTATGTTGTTGGCTGTGTTTTGCAGCTGTACCTTTTTTTTTTGCTAGAACAACAAATTGGCGATTTGATGGTAGGATTAACAAGTAATGCAGTTATGATACATTTATTGTTTTGGTTGAATTAACCAAACGCATTGCAATATACAATTCAGCACATTCTAAATGAACCTAACAGACTGAAATGTCATCTTACCTTGTGCAGCGCCAAGATGCAATGCCACCAAGACCAGCAAACACCGTGCGGATAGAAAATCCCTTTTCTCAAAAAAGTTCATGTAGTCTTTAGTTCATGGTGGTCTGACTATAGAAACTCATTAACAAAACTAGAAATCTATAAATTGGAAGAAACACTAAACTAAACAGCCTTTTGATTGAGTTGGGGGACTACATGTCTAAGGAGCAGCTTTGAGTTTCGACGAAAATGGGTAACTGACAGGGACTCAGGTAAGGATGATCCTTGATATTGAACAGTGACCTTTGAAGTAATCAATATTTTACAAAGTTTTACATCTTTAACTAGTTAGTTAATGATTAACCAGGGACAAAATGACAATGACCAGGACATTTGTCAGGGGAGTTACCTAAGTGCCCTTTTCAACGTTAGGACAAAGATGACATTGCCCATGATACATTATACATTGCATTATACATTATGTATTGAAACGTTATTATGTACAGAATAGTGCCGACTTTGTCAACAAAATCAAAGACATTCATGTAGAGGATGATGAAACCATCACTTCGTATGACGTGTGCTCACTTTTTACCTCCATACCACCCAAGGAAGCAGTGTCAGTAGTCAAGGAAGCCTTGGAAGCCGATGATACACTTGCAGATAGAACCAACCTATCCGTTGACCAAGTTTGTGAGCTACTAGAACTCTGCTTAGGATGCACATACTTTACCTACAAAGGACAGTTCTACCAACAAATGCACGGCTGTGCTATGGGATCACCAGTCTCACCAATTGTTGTAAACCTGTACATGGAGAAGTTTGAAAACAAAGCCCTCAGCACTTTCAATGACACTCCCCCGGCCAACTGGTTTCGTTATGTAGATGACACTTGGTGCAGATTGAAAAAGAGGGTAGCTGCTGACTTCTTTGACCACATCAACCAGATAGATGATAACATCAAGTTCACACAGGAGCCAAGCCATGACAACATGCTCCCTTTCCTAGACACCAAAACTATCGTAGAGGAAGATGGTAACCTTCGTTTCGAAGTGTACAGGAAACCAACCCAC